ACATATAAGGACAAATATATATACTGGACGATGAATCTTCTACAGGACTGATAATGAATTATTGGCATTCAATTACTCCACTGTGTCGTTAGGTGCCTGAATTAATTCTTGCAACACATCTCACGCTGTTTTTTATGTAAATGAAATGTCTATGCGTTTTTCAAAATCGTTGAATTTCAGAGCTCATTTCAAACTTAACGTCATGGCCGCCATTTGGCGATACGTCGAATGAATGATGATGTCAGTTTTTATGCTGTTTTCTTATTGGTCAGATGATCTTCCATTTCCACTCATGAAGCAGGGTTGTCAAATAACCAATTATAATCAAGATATCGAAAAGATGTTCGAGTCCTGTCGTTGAATAAAACATAATAGGAGTAACTCATGACTTTTTTAAGCAACCAGCATATCCAAACATTTCTCATTCTCCATAACAAAATATCATGTGAATGTTGGCAACATTGTGCTGAATGCTGAGAACTGACATGACCACGCCCACAAGTCGTGCGCGGGGTTGCCACGATCACCGATTCGAATGTCCTCTAGTGTGAATTTTAATATAATTTATATTTACACAAATTCATTATCAACAATGAGCCATAAATCATAATTGCACATTTTGAGACAATTCAATTTTTATTTCTTATTAGGAATATTACCAATATTCAATTGAGAACTTATGAATTAAAGAATAACTAATATTTGTGAAGTTGCCAATCGTATTTTAACACATGGCAATTGTGCTAAGGTCTGCCCATACTTACGAAATCGTCAGTTTTTACTGGCGGTAAATCTCCAGCCGTTTGAAAATCACCGTGGCATTATTGATGATTTTAGCATTTTAGCACGTAAAAAGCAACTGAAAATTTCTTAAAATATATTTAATTGATAGGCATTTGTACGAAAGCGTCTAGGGGTCACACAATTAAAATATTTTTTTTCCAATATATTGAAAAAAAAATCTAATATTAAAAAAAAAACAATATATTGAAAAAAAAATCCAATATATTGAAAAAAAATCTGATCTATTGAAAAAAAAAATTCAAAATATTGAAAAAAAAAATCCAAAATATTGGAATTTTCTTCATTATTCTAATCCAGGAAAAGTGAGTAGTGAGTGATGAATGTGCCAAGCTGCTTTTGTTGTGCTAGAGTGCATTAGTAGTGCTCTGCTCGCTTTGACTGATCATATTATTACCACAACTCAATACGGAAATGGACAATGGAGATTTACTAAACGTGTCAAGAAATCATACTGATTTTATAATAAAGGATTATTTTCTGAGTGGCATGCATTATGAAGAAATACTAGCCTTTCTGTATTTGAGACATAATATGGTAATGAGTTTATCAACACTCAAACGTAAACTGAGAAGTATGAAATTGAATAGAAAAAGGAATTATTCCGCATTATCCACTGTGATCGATTTCATCCAAGCTCAGTTGAAGACGTCTGGTCAATTATGCGGATATCGTTGGATTCACCAGAGATGTTCACAGAATTGACTTGTAGTGACGCAGAATACAGTTACTTTTTTATACGTATATTTTTCGATAATATAATCTGCTAGAATTATGAAAATCCACACCTCTTGCAAAAATATTGTTACATCTCAGATATTATACATAACATGGCAATAAATCGTAGTGGATATGGAGAGAAAAAGCACAAAGATTGAAGTAGTTTTTCATCATCATTTTCCCATTTTACCCGCCTCTAAAATAGTATTTGGTAGTAGAAAGTAGTTGAATTTTTTTAGTCACTATGTTATTCCCCGCTCGAGTCTTTCAGTCCTTGCTTTGTGTTGTCGCCGACAGAGTTGTCGCTGGCAGATTTGTACACTTCGACCGTCAGCGGGGTTCTATAGTTCGGAACTTTCCTGGCCGTTGGGATCAAATTTTCAATATATTGAAGAAAAAAAAACAATATATTGGATTTTTTTCTCAACATATTGGATTTTTTTTCAATATATCGAATTATTTTTTCAATATATTGTATTTTTTTCCAATATGTTGGATTTTTTTTCAATATATTGGATTTTTTTTCAATATATTGGATTTTATTTCAACATATTGCATTTTTTATTCCAACATATTGCATTTTTTTTCCAATATATTGAAAAAAAAAAATTATTTTAAATGTGTGACCCCTAGACGCTTTTGTACATTTGAGTGATGATTCTATTTAAGAAATAAAAAAGAAATGGTCTACTCGCCTATTATATTGAGTTCCCTGGCAAGAGGCCAGTACAACAAAATCGACAGATAGAGTTTCCCATAGCAAGCCCAGCACATACATTGATGATGGGACTTGAATGGCCAATTATCGACATTCGTTACATACTATCGAGGTAGGGGGAGAGGTAGAGGTAAGGGGTTCAATGGGTCTGAACCGAGGTCTGAACGTACTGGTAACTATATTTTTTAATGTGACGCTCTTATTATAATATATTATATGAAACATACATATACCGGATTCCAAGAAAGAAAATTATGAATGACCCAATGATATATTCTTAACCTCTCCCTTCTTTCTTGATGAAAGTTCTCAGGGTGACTGCTCACCGGCAAGTATCTAGAAGATAATTCCTATTATCTAAAAAATTAGCCATCAGTGAGTGTTTTCAATTTCCTGTTGTTGGATTTTTACCCAATTGATCGTTAGACTTGAAACAGTAATTTTCAAGTCGAGTGTTTGTAGTACATGTTAATATGATAGTTGCAAGTTGATCATTGTAATGAATTCTGCATTAAATGCCACGAGGCAAAATACCGTTTTCAGAAAGAAATTTGAGAATGTATTGAGTTGAAAATGCCCGTTTATTATGAACATTCAAGAATATTTCCTCGGATTCAGAGATGATTTTGTTGAATATAATATACGAATACAAAACTAACTGCACAATCAAAGCTTGCTGATAGAGTAATTTTATTCGTCTACTCATACTTTTTATGAGAGAGTAATTGTCTTCCATTATTAATTCATCATTATGAATTAGGTTCTGTTTACTACTGTACTTCGATGGAGTAAAATCCTCGCGGTGAATGGCATATACCCACTTCTTCGATAGTTCCTTGTCCAACGGAAAGCTAAAAGAATGAACTTTTAGACCACCCAGATAATTCCCCCGACAAAAGGGAACACAACACTTGAAAGGCATTGTTATTTCGCTCACAAAATATTTCACAAAACAGTAATTTTTCGGCCAATTATTTTGATGAATTAACAACAAAACAGAAGAATTCAGGACGCGACCGTTTTTCAAACATACCTGATCGAACTGACTACGAGCAGTGTTGCCAGTTGAAAATTTGCCGCAGCAGTAGATGGGTGAGGAAAAAACAGTAGATCATCGAAACTGAACAGAAGATTCCAATAATCATCACAATTTGCTATTATAAATAAAAAAACATAGAAACTTATATGATAGACAGGACAAAAATTATGTTTGGTCTCTAAACCTATCAATATCGAACAAAATCGAACAAAAAAGGAACGCTGACTACGAATCGACATGTCTGAAATATATAGAAAATGTGTGTGGCCTCTCTTAGTTGACGTCACGAGCTGTTTACGTCAGAGACTTCTGACCTTATGTTCACGTGGGTAACGGTTAAATATGATAGTTCTGGAGAGGTAGAGCAACTCCAATTTATATGATCACTAGGTATATGAGGTTATGAGATACCAAACACATGCATTTCATAATGAAATTTGAAACGCTAAATAGGTATATTGATACCTAGGTACTCAATATTATCATAATTGAAGAATCCATCTTCTATATTATCAATTGAAGATACTCTTGCCATCATAAATGAGGACCAGGAAAAGTGAGTAGCACAATAATTCGACAACAAACCAGAGAAAAACGAAACATACCGTATCACAAGAGTCACATATTATAATGATGATTCAAATTATCAGCTGATTGTTGATGTAGACGTTTCCAGAAGATCCACCAGGAGGAAGAGTAGTGAACAAGAGATTGGCCAGCAAAGAGCCACAACTCGTTAGTGTTCAACCAGTGTTCAACTGGTTCCACACATTTTACCATCACAACGCCATCATCGTATTCATCGAAGTAAACTTGGAATGTATCAATAAGAATTTTGTTGCCTGTCAATTTGACGAAAAATCCTGCCACTGGGAAAATTAGTCCGTAGGACAATAATAGAATTCGAATTGTAAATGCCAAGTTGACTTCGACTAAAAAAAAGCTAGACAGTGTAATGGGGAAGACCACTGAGGGAAGAAATCCGTGCAAACCTCTTTCAATCGACGAATCATGATTTACATTATATGTACAATCAATATTATGAGTTGAAGTTGAAGGGAATCGAATCTATATCGTTTTGAAATCAGCATATTTCATTTGATATTTCAAACAGCCAAATATGATGATGGAGTCGTGACGTATTAGTCCCGAACTGTAGCTATCTCTCTCTAATACCTCGTCATTCTGCAGTGTTGCAGTGTAATTGGTCAGTTCAAGGACAATAGGCGTGTTGGGACTAAGACGTCGCACCAGTCACACCAATGAATTGATGAAATTGCAAATGGCGCAGGAATTGCGTGTTTTGAGATGGACATATACTAATTTATTTTTTTCATCGTCTTAGCATGAATGAAAAAAATCAAAATTAATTCACTGGTAGTTTTTCAGTATAGGAGTTCACGATAATGTCGTTTTAAAAAATCAGTGGTCTTCCCCATTCGGTGAGACAATTTGATTCATCAGAATTTGTTTATGGCTGGTTGGCATGCTTTCAAAAGTTAGGTTCCTTTATTTTCGCAGGAGTTAGGGCAAACTTTTTTCGCTGTCATAATGACAAAATCACGCCGCTTGTGGAATTTTTCATACATGAATTAAATTGTCATAGGGAAAGAGTCTGATTTTGATCTGAAAAATAAGCCGCTGGAATCTTCATCCTGAATTTCGGAACACCCTGTATATTCTATTGAAATCAGAATGTATACATATAGCACTTGAACTATCAGTCGCAAAAAAAAATCTCAACCTTTCGGAGGTTCACTAGGAGAGTAGGAGAGAAGGATTTTATGGACACGGTGAATATCAGTATTGGATTTCCCGCCTGGTCTTTTCATGTTGATCTCTACATCACTATGTCTTGGAAATGATAAGGGGAAATCAGAAACTGATATGTGCTTCACAACGTTGTTGTTGTTCTGTCAGTTCATTATAATTTAGTAGCCAGTTGCGGGATATCAGCGAATATCAGGTGGTTCCAGATATTTTCGAATCTCTCATCATGATGTGGACTCTGTCGAAATTGTTGATGTGCGTTTGTATTTGGAAGATTACACAATGTCAAGGCCAAGGTAAAGATTTTCCATTTCCTTGTATATTAAAATACTTTGAGTGACTTGAGAATTCAGTAGAAACTCTGCACTGAAGATGATACTCGTGGGTTATTATGTGTCTAGACTCGTATAATATAAGATGCAATTTACCATAAATTAAGATATCAAATGTACTAGATACTTTTTTCCAGATAATTTTGAGCGTTTAAACCTTGATTCTATGAATATAAATATGAGTAATATGTCAATATACCTACTGCCTATTATACTGTATTGGAGAGAAATTACATGATTTGCCTTGAAATGTCACTGCGTTCGAGTTATGAGAGAGCCTAAAAGAAAAATTGAATCGATAGTCAGTGTAACCCTATTTTGAAATATGTTAGAAGTGGAATGAATGTTGATAACGTTTCGGGAAAAAATCTGCTGCCCTGAAATATAATTATTTGATCAATTTTTTCGGATTCTAGTGTTGACACTTCTCAGTGACAAATTTTGATGCAAACAAGTGAGTAGCATAATGCATTCGATCCATCTAGAATTTACTACCTCATTCATATTCATTGAATACCGCCAGTGGTCTATCTACAGAGTGAGCCAGTTGAAAGCGGGCTAATTTTTCATTTATATTGCGATTCTTACTAATTTTATTTTGAAATGTAGAGGGAGGAATGGTGTATATCGAAGTGTCTACTTTTTTCAAAAACCAAGGCCTACTAGAGATCACATTTAGAGGCTGAAAAATCCAGAATCCTTATTAGCGATTGTTTTAGAAAAAATCTGCGTACACCACTGGAATCGGCGTCCTATGGAATAGATCTGTATCAAGTTTCATGAAATAGTAATTTTTCTAACAAGTGCGAAAACGACGCGAAGCGGAGCTCGCGCAAGGAGTCAAGTGCGGGAAAGACACTTTCCGCATGAGTTAGGATTGATTTGTTTAATCAAATATCCCTGCAAAGAGGAACAACTGACAATAGTGATACATTCCCTATCTTCTAGGTGGGCATTTTTATCAAAAATGTGTGGTTGTTAGTTGTTATCCTGGCAGCATCTTGGTGCCCTAGAATTGATTCGGAATCCTCTATATATAAGCTTTAAAGATGGTCTCCAACTTGGAAAAACGATATACAAACTAAATTGATTATATACACCAGAATGGTGTGCTATGAGATTACGTAGTGTATTTTTGATGCTTAATATAGTATGCAGGATTTTTCCATGTGTAAGTAGGTTGGGTAATTAAGGACCATGGCTGCAGAACTCCAGACAGAGACATCGGCGACTGCAGACCAATAATGCAGTGCGAACCAATCACTAACTTCATGAGAACACTCCTGAAAAGGCCATTGACCAAGGAAGTGATAAGTTATCTCAACTCTCACACGTGCAGCTACGAGTCCAGCCAAGTGTGGGTCTGCTGTCCGCCTGGACCAATCTCCTTCCGAGAAAAAGGCGACTCTGACTATGCAAATGCTGAACCTCCGGACGTTAGCCAACACAGGAATTACCATTTGCTTCCAGAAGAATGCGGATATCTCGATGCTGGAGACAGAATACGAGGCGGTGTAAATGCCAAGCTGAATGAGTTTCCTTGGATGGCACTCTTGTCATACAAAACAGGTAATAACTTGTGAATGTAAATCTGTATAGGTTCTGAAACGGATAATCAAATGCTGCGATACTTTTGTCCGTTAGGAAACTTTGCCTGGAAACCCTGTTTCGCATACCTGGTGACAATTTTACGACGTATATGAAACTGTCATCTCCTGCGATATATAAGAACCAATCCACCACGAATCTAAATTTAAGAACATTTTTTCACATGGCATGACATGATGATGACAGTTCCATATACGTCGTATTTATAGTCGATTCCTCAAGAACTCCTCAAGTCCTCCTGATCTGAGGATCCCTTGAGGACTCCTCAGCACTTGATGTGAAACCTGTTTTATAGATTCCCCTTGAGTAATCCTTATAAAAAGAGGCCTCACACTTGGCAACAGTGTATAATATTAGTGTTCTGTGACCAGATTTGTTGCATCATGTCAAGTGTTTGTCACAAAATGAAAAATGTCAAATTCGATAATAACCCACATAAAAGGTTGATATATTGGCCTAACAACATATTTCTCCGATCGCGGATGATTAACAGACGAAAAATATTCAAGGTGCGCATAATAAAGAACAATAGTTCGAAAAGTATGTTGGAAATTCACAATGCAAAAATTATTCAATACGAATTATTTCAAGCTGCAATGAAATTATATGCCTGGTATGAGTTTCTCTGTACAAATATCAAGACTCGAATTCATTTGATAAAAAGCGTTACAAATCAAACACTACCCAAAGCCGTGAAATTCATATTCATAATATCATATCTAATTATGTAATTACATAACTAAACTTGAAATAATACTAGAAATTGGATCAAGGAATATTCAAGGAATGCTCAAGGTAGTTCTTTACCATCCTTGATATTGATATTTCCTTGAGGCCTTCTTGGTGCTTATATCTCGAAAAAAAATTGGAAACTGGTCCTTAAGGATATCTTAAGGGACGAGGTCACCTTAAGGAGCGACTATAAATACGGCCCTAAACTCAATTTGTGCTCACATTCTGCCAGAAATATTGACCCTGATTGTCAACTGTGAAAATTCATAGTTGGGAAAGTATCGGCGAATATAATACAGTATCGATGGTATCAACTGTATCTTCAAAAGGCTCAGTTATGGCACTCAAGTAGAAACTATCAGACTGATCAACAACTAGTAGCAGTTAATTTTGATAGCTTGAAGCAGATGACACTGTTGGGATAGGAGGTCGTTTCAGATGTCATTATCTGGTTATCAATTCATAGTAACGAAAATTTACGAAGCTCATTAGGACTGTTCATTTGTTTAGTACCTGCTAAACTTGATTTTCTATTTTCTCTGCCTACTGCATTATGCCATAAACAGAGACAACTATAGGAACGAAATCAAAATCAATTTTGCAAGTTCAGCAAGACAAACGAACAGACCTCTTGATATAATCGTTTCCAATGGAATATGCATACTTATTATTATTTATTCATCATTATTATATTTATTATATACGCATACTTGTTATTATTAGGCATTCCAGAACACGTGACTTTTGACATATTTTTAATGGCCGCCTGTAGGCACACAAATATTTTTTGTCGATTTACGTAGCAGCGGTGTAATCTTGGGTAGATATATCAAATAATGATAATGGCTGTTTTGAATAAAAGTGGATATTTATAATCCTTGGATCACTATAACAAAGATATTGCGACACGAAAGTATGTGTGCCTACAGTCGGCCATATTGATTTAGATGGTTTGACAGTTTCTTGACAGATGACGACCCCTAACCACACTTGTGCCGCCTCGCAGAAGCAAACTCTGACGTTTGCATATCATAGGCCGCGTGCACGAAGACCGACCCTGGAGGCAAAATATTGAAACACAACCTCATTCTTCTGTGAATTATTGAAACACAACCTCACTTTTTTATTTGGTTACAGAGGAATCAAAAGGTTGAAATAGTTTTTCACAATATTTTGGCATACGAATCGTGTTTCTTATGTATTCCATTAATTCAAGCATGCCTTCGCATTATGCTGTTGTACAATGCACAAAAAATGCAGCAAGAGACTAGGGAATATGATTTTTCAGGTAAATAGTAATCTCACATAGTTATCATCATGAAATGTTGTCATTCGTTATTAAAATTCCTTCTGCCACTTCTGCAATACAAGCTAATGCTGCTAATAGATTGAAAATGTCTACAACACACACGATCGTCAGCATGTCAGACCAGTCCTACCGATTGATTGCATGAATCCAATCTTCTTGCATTATTCTAGAAATTTCAGGTATATTTCTATTAGCTGATCGTATTGCAGAAGGAATTCCGATGAGAAATCAGAGAAACCAAATTTCAGAAATGAAAACTATGTGAGTGACTATAGTAAGTACTTACTTTTGAATCATAATGTACCATCCAGATTTCTTCATCTTCCGCTGTAGTTTTTGTGCATTTTACAACAGCACAATGTGATGGCATTAGCGAATTGATGAATAGCGGAAAAATACGATTCATATGCCAAAATAATTGTGGAAAACTATTTCGATCACTTGTAAACAAATATGTTTTGCCTCCAGGGTCAGTCATCTGACAGTTCTTGCACGCGACCTATATTATACATACAGCGTTGGGATAAATAAGTATGGAACCAAGTGAACATCTTTACGAAAAGGACGGAATTCATGATCCTTCGCAGTCAAATACATTGACACAAGATGCATCTGATGTGATTATTTTTGTAAAGAATGTACTTCCGGTTTAACCGGAAATTAACTCAACTTTATTTAAATTAAAATAGGATTTTTTTTAAAATTTTGATAGATGTTTATATTTCTTCAAATGCATGCATACTGGGTTCAATGATGTACGTAGGCCACACATAAGTTGTAGATAATGTTGGCACCAACTTCCTCATTTCATAGAGGAACCTATACTTTATTTCCCACACGGTTCAATAGGCATTTAGTGTAGTAGATATGCGATAAAAAATGGTTTCAGGTGGAAATAATTCCCAGAAATTTTTTTTTTGCTTTTCACAGTTCAGAATGCATAGAATAACACATATGAGAAAATATAGAATGATACCTTTGTGCAAAATAAAAATACAGTGTTTCCAATACTCGTTTATTCGTTAATACGTATGTAAACCATGAACCTAATAAAAATGTCATATTTGGCATGTAACAGAAGTTCATTCATTATATATTCAACTTCCTCGATTGGAATATTGGTACCTTTCCGAACAATAATTGCACAATACTGTCCAAAAAATTCCGTATCGTAGACATTTACATCTGCTTCCACAAGGTTCATCTACTTCAGTTTTGCAAGTACTTCCGTACTTCATCATATGATACAGACAACCCAAGCTTATGAAGTTCATCGACAAGTAACCGAGATCGAAGATCCCGATGATACTACTGCACACCAACACCTAGACGAATTGAACTTATGATAGACCGTGGCCTTGCATCTTGCATTAGTGCTTGTTCAATTGAATTTTTCTCCAAACTTGAGGATTTTTTATTGATTTTTATATCCAAGAATGTTTTCAAAATGTCGGCTAAAAGCTTACTATTTTCCTGCTCGGAACTTATTTCTTCTGGTGAAGGATGAAACTCTTAGGATGTTCTCATCAACTTGATTAAATTCTCAATCAGTTCAGCTGTTGCTTCAACTATGCGAAAATTTTCAACATCTGGATCTTCTGAACACTTTTGTCGCTGATAATCACAAATTATATTGGCAACTGTTTTCCCTGTTACGATCATATTAGCTCTACCTTTTTGTCTCAATATCATAATGTCATCCGAGAAATATTCTTCTAATTTTTTATGCATACGACGAACATCAGTATGTAAGGTTCGGTATTTTCTGGCAGCAGCTCTGCCATTTTGTCCTGCAACTCCTGAACTGAAATTGGTTCATCATTTTCCTTGAGCCACCTGCATATTCCTTAAAAGGCATCTTCTTTATTTTTATCAGAAGAACGTCCTGCTAACTTTGTCTGTTCATTGGGAATATCATGTTGACGTTTCTTAGGAATAGAGTCGCCTTTTCGTACAAACGTACAAACGACGACATTCGACGTAAACAATTAGAGGATGAATAGGCACTGGTTCCAAGAATTCAATTATTTCGTCTTGCTGCTACTTGCTAGCACTTTTAATTCCTTGGACACCTTTGGCAGTCAATTCAACACAATTCGAACTATCATCAGTAGTTGACGAAAATAATAAACATTTGTTATCTTCCATCGCTGCTTTCAATTCACTATATTTAGGTATACCTGGAATAATATATCAAATAATGGAACCTTTCATTCTTGATCACAGAGGATAGTTTCAATCACATACCAAAATGATTGTTTCACACTTCGACACGTATTTTGAGATCTGCTAACCATATTATCATTTTTAGGAAGATTATGAAATTCGTTTGAATCTTATCCTGAAGATCCTAACATAGGAAGCGGAATATGTGTTGAGTTGTGGAACAATCATTTCGGTTTGGGCACCTGAAATATGAAAAGTTGCATTAAAACATTTTTGCATGGAAGAATGCATCTTTATTTTCAATATAGTGTAAGGGGGTCAAATGAGGCTTCAGAAAATAAAAACTGCGTTTTTGTGGAAATAATTTCCACCCCAATTCCTCCAACTGCTCTACTAATTCTGATTCAGAGTTTAGATAACATGATTACCTGATTGATGTCAACTCATCTATCACAGTATTCAAAATATACAGGGTGTTCCTCAAAGACATGCTAATATTTGAGGGGGTGAGTTCTTGACTTATTTTGAGAAGAAAACTTCATATGAACGTATGTCCTAAAAGTCTCAACTTTCGAGATACAGGGTGATGAAGTTCTGAAAAATATTCAGTTCTTCGATAATAACTGAGACAATATTGTATACATCTGCATGAAATTTGATACACGTCTTTTATGCAACAAGGTGCATTTTCTAATGTACAAAAATTCTAATGTACAAAAAATTTCCTCTACTAGTGGCACCGTTACGGGAATATTTTTTTATATATTAGTTAAAAGTGAGCAACGACGGAACATTTTCAAATTTTATGCAATGCTATGAAAGGCTTTTCAATTATTTACAAAAAAAAATTCCTCCTGTTGATACTCGATAGAGCGCTTCGTTTTCGAAAAAAAAACGGAAAACCAGGACCAGACTTCAAAATTCAGGACATCCATTACTAAATTACCACAATATGTAACATTTTGAAATATATATACCGATTCAGTCACATAGCAGACTGAATTTTTCCATCACGAAAAGCTATACAGGGTGGACGAAAAAATAATCTATGCATATTTTCAACTTTGACACCCTGTATCTCAAGAATTAGGACGTTTACGACATACGTTTATATGAAGTTTTGTTCTTGAAATGGGTCGAAGAATCGGACCCTTGAATATTAGTACATCATTAAGGAACACCCTGTATAGATTTTCTGAAAATAATTACCGCCGTACTAATTAACGAAAACAATTATATCCTGCAAACCATTAGAAATTATTTCACCAAATTTGTAGAACTGTTAACTGAAAGTCCAGGCTAACTCCTGATGTCCTATCGATTGTTGCATATAGGCCTAGGTCATTTTCAAATGTCGCACTAAAAAATTGCCGAAAACTCAACTTGTTCAAAGATACTCACTATTTTTCTGACACCATATGAAATAAATTTGAATTTGAGGAACTTTCCATGTACCTATTTCATACCTCTATCGAGATATCCAATTAAAATCGAGAAATGCGATATATCTTGCCAAAAAATTTTTCGCTTTTTCAAGCACTTAGGCCACAGATCACCCTACTATAGCCAGATGTGAAAGTTATATGATGATGCCTCCTTCGATGTTCGATGACTCAAAATTCGTCACCTTGAATAATATCACCGTACAGACTGAGAAAAATGTATCGTTGTTTTCACAAATTACTCTTCGACCTAGACTGAAAGAACATGCTTGCACTATTTCTACACCGAGAAAAATCCAGTTTCACAAGTCTCAATTCGAAAATATCCCATAACTGCTAATTGAAGCATTTTATTCACATGCATAATGTCATCTGATGAACGTGAAAAATCAACGTTTTCAACGTGAAACAAATCAGCTTTTCAAATCACTGCTTTTGTTTCGAAAAGGTTACCTACCTGATAGATTTGGAATGAAACAAGATTATAGTTGAAAGATAGAATTCAGAAGATAATCATTTGAATCCTGAAAGATGCCATTTCACACTTATACAAGTATTATTTGAGTTCCTTCCCTTCTTCATTTACCATCTTTGTCATACTCGTTCACCACAATGAGTCATCTCACTCACTTATGAACACTCGTTCCATCAGAATCGTCAGTCCTCTACGGATATCAGATATTTAAGCCTGCAGCAGCTCGTGAAGCCTTCTTACAGGATGCATTTTTTTTTTTCGAATAAGCGAAGTGGTTGAAAGTTCTTCAAGAAATTTCTGGGATATATTTGTTCATATACCCCCCAAGTATAGGATTTATTGAGGAACTACAGAAAGTTGAACTGCATCAGGGAGTTATAGTGTTTTCCCAATAAATCGGTAATTTATCGAAAATTCTTCCAATTTGGATACAATTTTGTATTTTCAAACTACCCCACTATTCACTATTGTGGCAAAAGCTTGGATTCACACAATTATATCGGTGATAGATTGTATTGCGTATACAGTATGTCCAAGATAAGGATGTGTTCGTATCCTTATCTTGGACACACGGTGTATATGTATTTATTTGATTCGTATGATTTTATTTGTTGCTACAAGATTCACAAAAATTTTAGCCAACAATTCATTAAAAGAAATGAAGGTTTCTTGTTATCGTTTCGTGATTCGTGAACCCCCGCCACCATGCCACCGTGTAAATTTTTCTCTACTATGTTGACTATTGATTCAAGGTAGTGACAAGAATAAGAAATGAGTACTTCAAATTGGAAGCATTTTCATTGTGGGCAAATGGAGATATTGTGTACTGAGTATCTCGTCCTTGGTGATGCACTTCAATGCCCTGTAGTTTCGAGGAAAAACTCTACTCGTGGGTAAGTATATATACTAAGTAGATATATCTCCAATATTTCTCTACGATCTTCATTCCACTTGATTTTTCTAAAAAAAAAATAATCACCCTGATACTGAAATGCCAATCATTTGACTATTAAATTGGAAGCAAATTATATTGATGCTGATCATTTTACCCTTATTATATGAGCGTCATTCCATTCTCATATAAGTGTTTTTTCACAGTTATATGATTTTTTTTGAAATGAAGGACTTGGTAACAGTAAAGAGGTAGCTATGCTGGCGCCTATTCTATTCAGAAGGTTATACAGTTTCGTATAACAGCATCTGCTCAGGATATTTTAAAACTTGGACTATGACTATATGCATTATTGATATCACTAGCACACTGTTACGTTACGTTAATGCTTTACGCCAAATGCAATTCTGATCACAGGAATATAGAATATTTTCATATTTCTTTTTTATTCCAGAAAGAGGTCCTGATTTCAGATGTGGCGGTACAATCATAAATGAGAGATATATTCTGACAGCTGGCCATTGTCTGCATAACTTGAATTATCCTTTGTGAGTAAGCATATTCATCTATTTTTCTTATCTCTTGGAGCGCACGAAAGGAAATCTCTATATATTCCAAGAACACCGTGCGCACCTAGGGAAGATAGTGATAGGAGGTGAACGTGTTGCAGTTTTTTCGAACTTTTGGAGGTTATAAGTTCTTAGGAATACTTCCAAAGAATGCTGAATCTTTGCCGTTCGATAGACGAACGATTTTTGGTGAAGTACATTGATATAACTATACCGGCATCTCATAATGATAATAATGTAATTCGATTCAAACAATAACTTTTAACTGAAGTGATAACATACCTATGTATATGGAGCACTGAAAGACATGGGGACTGGAATATATTATTCATTCATATTATACCCAAGTAACATTCTAAATGCCTAATAGCTTCGATGAGACTTTAAAGAGGTTATGTGAGCGCATATGATAGGTCTTATTTGTTCCACCGTTTTATGAGTGCACTGAAAAAAGCGAATTGGCCTTCATGTTCATATAATCCTATTAAAAGGTTTTTAGATCCTATGATAGAACTATCGCATAAAACAATTATTTAGCATTCAGCTCACTTCGGTTTTAAAAGAGCTGTGATAGTTATTGAAATTCTTTATCAGAACTATTTACTCTCAACAACCCTCTTGAAACACTAAAGTTTCATTAGTGTCTCGAATTTGACCAAGAGGTTTTTAACTAATCCTATGAAAATACGTCATAAAGCAAACATAAAACCAAATTTACGCTAGGCCAATTAGGATTTGACTGAGGCTATAATGATATCTAATGGCATTATTCTAGCTGTGTGAAAGTAATTATTGAAACCTATAAGCCACAATAATGAATTCATCGAAGTCAATCACAAAATCTATAGGATTTATAATTTTTTTTTTCAGAACTGTGTTAAACCCAAATCCCATAATATAGATGTTCGTACTTTTTTGCATACAACGACTCATGTTGAAGTGGACTCACAAGAAAATGAATAGTGTATAAAATTAAGAGACATGGCAACTTCAAGCGAGAATAAAAAATCAAGTCGTGAGAGCAACAGTGAATCTGAATTCGCAAGCCCAAGCAATTCCAAATACTGCGTCTTTCAATTCATCCCAACTGAAACCATCAAATAGCAAGAATTCATTGGGACCTGATGTTCATGAAGTACCATCAACGAGTCAGAATGTAATGGAAAATACTTCTGATCATCGTGCTTCTGATATATCTGACTGGGAACTAGGAAGCGAGAAAGTTGGCAACAGTTTTGCACAAATTATGTCAGATGGCGAGTTTAGCATGAATTAAAGAGAATGGAGCATTCAACACAATATCAGGCAAACTGCACTGAGTGTAGTTTGTCTATGTTCCTACTTAAAACCAATCACAAAATTCACAAAGTGAACACTGTAAATAACAAAAGTAGGGTTATGTTGATCATGTTGATGACGTTCTTCTACTTTTCGCCACACTGCCATATGAGCACTAGTCAGGATATTAAAGATAGATAGATATTAAAGCTTTATATAGTTTCATGAAGGCATATAACCTTCATATACCAATCTTATCATTTTTCAAGCTTTGTTGTCATACCCAGGAACAAATAGTCATAAGAATGGATTCGAATATGCAATGAGTACTTCAACAGGAGGAAATCGTCTCATAAAATACCTCATCATCACCTAAAGGTTTTAATTGAGCATTAGAGAAAGAAAATTGGTTTCAAGTATATTTTGCGCTATATTTACTACAAACAGATGTTGGCCATTGATGGAAATGAGAATCTCAAGGGGAAAATAAAAAAGATTCATTGATACTGCCGTGGAAAATGTTGCTTTTCCATATTTTTCAAACAACTCACCAATATTCAGCAAACATTCATACAGTTTTGTCAACTTATTTGGAAAGTTATTGGAATTCACATTCAATTATAACTGGTGAGAACACATTTTTTTTAGGGCGCTGCTTTTCTTGAAGCATATCTGGTATGTTTTCGTTAAAAAAGTCGTCATCGTTTTCATTTCAAAGCCTCAATCTTCACAGAAAAGACTATTTGATACAGTAGGGAATTATCATAAACATCATCAATTTCATTTAATTATCATGAACATTCCGCCATGTTTAATCTCTTTTATATAACTATCTATTGTTTTCACTCCATTTCGACATGTTTGTATTATAATTAGTTCTGAAAAAAGACTCCCTCAGCTCATCAGGAAGAATCTCAAAATTAAATAATATATAGGGTGTTCGATAGAAAAAAGTTCAACTTCAGTGTTTCATGGTTTTTGAGGACACCCTGTATGTTTCGAAATAATTTTAAATGGCCTATGTCGACATGCAACTTCCTAGAGAGGAAGAATTCCAAAAAGATAAGTGGTTAGCCTTCTAGAGACCGAGGCGTTACTGGTGGCCCATGCACCCTGTATGACACGTTACGGACTATATTATCTTAACAAATGCTTACTGCAACTGATAAGGTTGGAATTCTAGCCAATATGTTTTAATGTTGGCATATAGCTTTAAAGCATATATATTTGAACTCGTGCTACAAGGCTTGAAAGGAAGTAGTTTTGATAGGTTTTATTATTGCTTTGAGGCATACTAGAATGATAGTTATTCATGCAACAAGTGCAAAAAGTGAAGTCCAACTCGGCCTAACGGCCTCATCGGACAATTTCACGTCGAATGCAATAAACAATTTTTGCACAAGTTGCATACAACATTTTTTCTACGTTCATGCAAAAAGCAAAAAATGATTTATTGAGGTGCGGCAGTAGGTACAATTCTGTTAATTGTCAGAATTGATTTTTGACTGACGTTTCTATAACCACAGTTGCATTATAGAAAATGTTTGTCATGATGACAGCACGTTGAAGTAGAATGACAGATGAGTGCAATAAAAACTTTATTGCACTAAGTGCAATAAAGAACTTCTTTTTCCACTAAATATAGTTCAATAATGTTCTGTTTTTTGCATGAATGTAGAAAAATTCCTTTTAGTTTTATGACAAGCTTTAAGAGGAGCTGTGACAGCTTTTATAAAGGTGGGCCCTTCATGTTTTGAGAAGGTTGTTTTAACGTTTTAATGATATAATTGAAGTGAAATTGTTTTGAAAAGGCATTTTAAAATAGGCTGTAACATCCACCTGTAGCTTACAATTAAACTGATTATGGTATTTGGGTAGAGTAGGTTGATCATATTATTCTCTTAGGAGGTTGTATCGATCGAAAATTGAGCTGCATGAAGAGAAATGGTCACATGTGACATCATTTCATGGTATATTCCAAAGTAAATAATATTCAGATGTTCATGGAATTATGTAACAAATTACCACTACCCCTCACCTCATCCTCCGATCATCGATCCATCCGGCAACCTTCTTCACAAAAATAATCTCGGTTGACAAAGACCAGTTATCCACGAATAATTCACACTTTTGTCATATTGGTACACTTTGGATCTTAAACTGTAGTGTCATCATGACAAAGAATGAAAATTACATCTTATAATGGAAAATGATTAAATTCGTGATGTGACATCAGTATATAACTTTCGTTGATTCGTTGTTATGGAAGAAAATTATGCGTATATAACCCGTAGTAAACACGCGAATACATCGTTGCCACACTCATTTCCATAATACATTATAATTTCATGTATATATGAGGAAATTGGGAAAATTTAAATTATTTTAATTGCAGAATTCACATATTTTAGTAAAAGACATACATATGGATGGTGTCTATTATATAATTAATGCATGATAAATTCTTCCCTAGTTCTCAAACACAAGGGGTATATATATATATATATAGATCTAGGGAAATCCGCATACATCATTTTCTGCTGAAAACGATGATGAATTGGGACAAAATATGAACAATTTCGTCTCTCTTCTAGTCATATGTCTATGGTTTCGACACCAAAAAATCCAAATGTTGGAAAATCTTGATATTGTAAATCATATTTCTTTGTAACATTTCCCGCTAGACCTCAACCAAGTGTGATACATTGATGAAATCAGCTTTCCAGGTAAAATCTGGAAATGCAATGAAATAGAGTGTGTTCTATGTGAAATAAAAAGTTGCTACAACTTTCTAATAGAATTGGCAACACCGCCTCATCGAATAATATTTCAGACGGATAGAGCCTGCTTGATTTTCCACGCCCGAACATTTTCGAAATTATTTGTCGTTCACTTCTCCAGATTCGTTCGATGTTCCATCCACCGTGAAACACCTTTTATAGTAGCTGAAACTGAACTTTCTCAATTCTACAGATTGGGGGTGAGAGTTGGAGAATACAATATACAAACAAAAATTGATTGTGAACTCACTAGAAAGAATGAACAAAAATGCAGTGAACCTGTACAAGACCTAGTCATCGAAGAGATCCTGGTGCATCCAGGATTCAACGGAACTGTTATACAGAACGATATTGGACTGCTGCGGGTATCAAGAATGAATCTGACTGTTGGTGAGTAATCAATCTTATAAACTTTTATAGTAATTCAACACTGAGAAAACTCGGCCAAGTAAATTGTTTTCTTGAAAAAAAGTCGATTGTGACAAGAACATTTTCACCAACGGTAGGAAAATATGGTACTTGCAGTAGGCAAAACTATATTTCTGGAACGAAGTTTCTGCTGTAAGTGATCAGAACACTTTTTGGTATCAACCATGTCGATATGTACTTATTAGAGTTCGCTAATTCTAAGTGAACACTAAACTAGTGCTAGGTTAACGAATACTCACTATTATTAAATTATTTTTCTGACATAAGATGACTTGCTGAGAGCGAACTAATCAATAAAGACAATCTATCAAGTCGATTGTTGCAGGTGACAGCTCACCTGTAGTTATAGATCTCTTTTCCGTTCGGACATCTCCGATATTATTCGAGTACCCACGCCCAACGCGATCACTGTCCAGTGTCCACGAGTCCACGGCGTCATTTCGATCTTAGCATTCCTGAAGTTAGTATTTGCGTTCCTACTAGTAACATTGAAATTCCAAGTCATGCAAGTACCCTTTCGAACAACTACTATATCATATTCGTATGAGAATTCTCTGTTTGTGTGCGGTGCTCTGTGACCGTGCTCTGAGCTGTGGGGTGTTGAGTTCTTGATCTGTTCTCTTGAAGGAGATAATGAAATACAAAACTCTTCTAGAACAGTACATAATTGTTTCTACATATATACAGGATTTTTTTCCACTTCCTATGATACTCGAAGTGGAAGGAAGTGACGTTTAAAAAGTATGAAAGTTGATTCATCTTCAATGCTGGAAGGAAAAAGATAGTAAACCAGAGTGCAGTGCAGTGAGTGAGAGTACCGTTTTTCTCGATGCATGATGCTGATATACGCGGTATCTAGTATCTCAATATTTGTCGTCAGCCTCACCTTTTTTGTATTTTCTGGATTCATCATACCTATATAATAAAATGTTTTGAATGCATGTGTTTTTGTCTTATTACCAAGGTTTTATCATTTTCCAGAGAACAATGGAGGTATTTTTTCATACTAGCTAATGACGAGTGAATAAGTCACTATTGACAAGTAAATAAGTCACTGATGACTAGTAGATAAGTTACTAATGACATGTAATTAGGCCACTGATGACTAGTGAACGAGTCACTAATGAAAAGTGAATGAGTCACTAATGAAAAGTGAATGAGTCACTAATGACAATTGAATAGGTCACTGATGACAAGCGATGTGTTCACTAACCGTTATCACTCTGAAATTTTATGAAACAGGTCAATAGTGGTAGGTGTACATTTTCAGGAACACAAATATTCTTGTGGTTATTAACTTGTTTCCTTGTCCCATATGGTATACAAGTTTTTACTTGCCACTATTAAATATTCACTTAGGGTTAGTGATTTTTTTTCTCCGTGAAAGGAAGAAGGATGCTCAAAGTCATATATTTTGTACCTACTCATCAAGAGTGTTCATTTTGTAGAGTTACACAAGTTCAAATCATAAAGAAACAAAGAAATATATTTTTAATATCAATGAAACGGGCTTTGTTGGATAGAACAATTTCGTGACTTCAATAATATTTGAATATGTCGCCGTTACGGCTGGACTCAACCCAAGTGTCTGAGAACGGCGACGAATTGAATGATTTGGATCTTCTTCAGTGTTTTTCTCTGTATAGCGACTACAGCTACAACGAAATTGTTATTCGAAGATTTTTAACAACTGAACAATTACGTATATTGTACCATGCATTAGTAGAACCTCACCCTAACTATGGCATCTTAGCATGGGGAGCAGCGACAAACATCCACTTAACCAACCAAGAAATAATAAAAAAATGAATTGATAAAATAATATCTCGAAAGGCTTATACTTACCCAACAAACACTCTTTTCATGGAAACATAACTATTTGATAGTAGACGTACTGTACAGCAGTGTTTAGGCAGCATACCCATAAAAATGAACTCAAACGTATTACCCACAGCTCTGATACTAGAAATAAAGAAAATACATCAGTCATTCCCAAGCTTGATAAAAATACACTACAGAGAAGTTCAACTTATTTTGGACCAAACCTATATAGTCCAATTCCATCTGAAAGAAACTCATTGAAACTATTCAAATCCATAATAAAGAAATGGATCAATGAACTTCTTCTTGTACACCAATTTGTTGATGTAAAAAATATTTATAACATTCCTTAATGAAAAAATTCAACAAAAAGTAGATAGTTACATGAACAATTCTTGTTTAGGTCCTGTTACTTACGAATTAGAAATAATGTGTATACTTGTATATATATATATTATTTTTTATTGTAGTTTTCTTGTGTATTTTAGTATGATTGTATTTTATAGTATTTTTCTCCTCATTTTTCTCCTAATAATCCCATATAAATATTTCATCTTCTCTTCATCTGAGCATTATATAATATTCTGTTACTTCTGTTCATCATTACCACTGAACATTAATTCAAAGAGTATATGTAAATAGATATGAATACCCACCAACAAGGTTCTCCGTTTGAGTTAAATATATTTATTTACCTCAATGACTGCGAGAAATAGTGTAACGATTATATTATTGTACCTAAAGTTAAATTGAATATCTTTTATATAATATGTATAATATTTATTTGGTGATTAAATTATCATTATTACTATCAATACTACGAGGAAAATAGGAAGTAGGTACAGGGTTATCCATCGAGAAGGCCCACCCCCATATTTTCCTTATACTTTCGCTTAGAAAAAAAATAATATGCGGAAATTCAATGCCGCAATGAGACCTTCCTAAGGCATTCATCAGAGGTTATACAGGGTGATTCCTAAGAGCGTGGCAAACCACAAATCAATATTTTTAAATGGAACACCCTGTTTTTAATATTTTTTTCGAGATCTGTGATCTTTTGCGATCACAAATATATAAATATACAGTATGTTATCTCTTACTGTTTTTCGTTAATTACAATTTTTGTGGTCCAGAACCAAAATTTGTGTGTGATGGCATCAAAATAAATCAAGTAAGCTTTGAAACCGAAACTATTTGACATGTCGTGTCCTCATGTTACCGTCACAAAAAAAATTCGAGAACTTTTAATTTATTTTGTGTGTCGTAATTTGTCGTAATGTTTACAATCGCAGAAAGATATGATATAATGTCTTTATACATAAAAAATAACATAAACGCTCCAGAGGGTGAACAATTACAAAATTCATCAGGTATGCACGATTTTTGATGTTCGGAAGTCGAATACATTCTCAATCATGTATAACTCTATAGTTGCACGATAAAGATGCCATCCCACACAAAATGTTGTTCTGGGACCAGGAAAATTGTGGTCAACAAAAAACAGTGAAAGATAACATACTGTATATTTATATATTTGTAATTGCAAAAGATCACAGATCTCGAAAAAAATATAAAAAACAGGGTGTTCCATTTAAAAAAATTGATTTGTGGTTTGCCACGCACTCAAGAATCACCCTGTATAACCTCTGATGAATGCCTCAGAAAGGTCTCATTGCGACATTGAATTTCCGCATATTATTTTTCTTCTAAGTGGAAGTATAACGGAAATATGGGGGTGGGCCTTCTTGATGGATAACCCTGTACATACTTGACCATGGTCGCCGGTAGCAGGGTGCGAGGGGGTGCACTTGCAATATTGAGCAGTTTTTCTAGTCATTGTTTGAATGATAACTTGAAGGTTCCAGGTTACTCTCCAAATTTGTTTGTGAATTGACAAAGCATAGGTACATTTTCAATTATTCATTTCATTATATTCATTAATTCATTCATTCCTTAGTTTAGTCCATACCTATCCATGTGTTGGATAATATACAAATTTCTCCTGAAACGATCAAAGATGGTAAGCTCTCTCACTCAATAACTAAATAAAAAGTTGTCCATTTTGATACCAGAATTAGCTATTGAATTGACGGCTCTATTACTGACAGAAAAATAGGTATGTTGCTAGGCAACATATTTAGTTCCTAGGAGCTGAAGTTGAACATTAGTTCCTCGGAGCTGAAGTTGAACTTTAGCTCCTAGGAACTGAAAAGGATGTACGAGATGTCATCAAGAATGAACAACATTGTGGTTGGTTATTTGGGTTGGGACGCATACCTGATTTGTTTCCGATTTCGGCAGATTTGGCATTCATGCCCATGCTGGAGATATAAATACACCTGTAAAGGAGTTATAAACATCTCAGTTAAGTATTTTTGTTTTGATCAGGGAAGCCTTCAAGATTCTCATACTTGCTTGATCTGTATTTCATTCATTATTCTCGGGATGCATGACTTGTTTTTGAATAATCACGGCAAGCAATAGTGTTTTGTCTCAAACAACGATATTGTTCACCTCTATTTGATTATATTTAGTCAAACACAGTGTAGTATCGAGAGGAATAAATAATCGTCAATATACTTATTGATATGCTCAATAACCTAACATTTTCCACGTCTTGTTTCTATACCTCTGGCACTGGCACGGTATTTGCCATTAGAGCACCTGGCCCATACACAAATATGTCACTCTGTGGTTGTATTCATGTTGAAACTACAATTCGAACATCCTTGAAAATTGAATGAACCTGCCTGCTGTTGATGCAGGTAGAATATTCTCACCACACGGATTTTGCATTGATTTTGATTTGCTGCATTGCATACATATGGCACGGCGTTGGTGTTAACTTCGCATATTTATTTGAGTTAATTGTTTCGGTTGCAAATGCAAAATTTGCTTGTCGAACAAAGTGTCACTCTTGATCCTAATGAAACAATCTACTATCAATTCGTTCATAACAATTTTCCTTTTACAGCGAATGTGAGACCCGTCTGCTTGCCAGTAGATACTGCCAGGGGAACAGACTTGAACGGGAAGCAAATTATAGTCACTGGTTGGGGAGCTGATGCAACAGGTAATATTCTTCTACTCCACAAATCATTGCTCAAAACTACATGAGTAATTTTCAGAAAGTGCGTTAAGATTTGATTATTTTGGCACCAACATTATTTTTCCTACTTCATATCAATGATCTGTAAGGAGTATAAACACTCGCCCTATCCACACCTTTGCAAATTATAATACTCTCCATACTGCGTTCTCTTCCAGAGTCCCCATTTCTTCCTAGGAATCTAAGACTTTACGACGTGGGCAGGTCAACTCTGATGACAATGAAGATCTTGTTGAAATTACAGTCTGGGGAACCAACAAACTAGTTGAATTCAACGTCACGAAAACTCAAGCCTTTATTTTCTCTACAGAGGTGGAACTCAGTATGCCTGATATAACAATGTCTGGTACCACCAATACACTAAGTCCACTAGGCTCGGTATTTCCATCAGCATTATTTTTCCATGTCCGATTCATCGCAGAAGCTGCTTTACAAAAACTCGGATTTCATTCCGTGCGAGAATCTACTTCACCCTTAACAGCTTCTCATGATTCCCAAAGCAGATATACGGCCTGTTCTAGAATAATGTTACCACAAATGGGGCTCAACACCCGATCATGCGCTGAACGCTGATGCAGTGGGTGATGCCATACTCAGTAATCCTATGACCTCATTATAACAACGTAGAAAAGTCGGCGACATTTCACTTTTGTATAGATACCTATACTTCCACGTGAAATATTCTTCAGAAGTCTCCGCTATCTTTTTATCAACATCAATAACAATCAGAAGATCTCGACAATGAGCCCAATAAGCATATTTTCACGTTAACAACCTTCAAATATGTCGAACAACACGCTACTATTCAAATTTTTGAAACACCTGCATCGCTATTTTCTTAAGAAAGGGAAGACCCTAACTCGATTGTTGCCCAAAATGAGTTGTACCTACCTTGTTTAACTCACATATAGGAATAGGAAAACCCACCGGAAAACCTGAGCTATGACAAACAATCATCTCACTTGTTCTTGAAAATCACATACATCTTATAATAAACGTGCTAACTGGCTCAAAGAAATAATAGTATTATGCTTCATTAGTTCACTTCGAATTATCTAACTCATTGTGAATACATGAATTCAATTCAAACATGAATTCCTGCGAAAGAACCAAACTGAACACAATTGATAATAGACAGGGAAAGTTAGCATTTCACCTCGGAATTTGGTAAAGAGGGTTCTATTTTGAGGGGGCAAAATACGTACACTTCGCTATTTCACTTAATTCATAATGATTGTCGTTTTCTAGTATAGGTCTAGCTTCGTTGGTAACATTCCCTAATGAAGACGCATATATCGTTATTCAGTTATCTATCTTCAACAGTTTCTGAATTAGTAATCATGAAGTGTTTCAGATTGTATGGTGAATCTAGAGTTCGAAGTATAGTCTAGTAGATATGCGATAAAAAATGGTCTCAGGTGGAAAAAATTCCCACAATTTTTTTTTTTGCTTTTTTCGGTTCAGAATGCATAGAATAACACATATGAGAAAATATACCTGTGTGCAAAATAAAGTTACAGTGTTTCCAATATTCGTTTATTCGTTAATACGGATAAATCATAAACCTAATAAAAATGGCATATTTGGCATGTAACAGAAGTTCATTCATTATTTTCAACTTCCTCGATTGGAATATTGGTACCTTCCCGAACAATGATTGCTCAATACTGTGCAAACAATTCCGTATCGTCGACATTCACATCTGGTTCCACGAGGTTCATCTACTTCAGTTTTGCAAGAACTTCTGTACGTCATCATATGATACAGAAAACCCAAGCTTATGGAGTTCATCGACAAGTAACCGAGATCAAGAATCTCGATGATACTGCACACCAACACCTAGACGATTTGAACTTATGATAGATCGTTGCCTTGCAGCTTGCATTAGTGCCTGTTCAATTGATTTTTTCTCCAAACTTGAGAATTTTTTGTTGATTATTATATCCAAGAATGTTTTCAAAATGTCGGGTTAAAGCTTATATTATTTTCCTGCTCGGAACTTATTTCTTCTGGTGGAGGATAAAACTCTCAGGATGTTCTCATCAACTAGATAAAATTCTTAATCAGTTCAGCTGTTGCTTCAACTATCCAAAATTCTTCAGCATCTGTATCTTCTGAACACTTTTGTCGCTGATAATCACAAATTATTGGCAACTGTTTTTCCTGTTACGATCATATTAGCTCTAAGTTTTTGTCCCAATATCATAATGTCATCCGAGAAATATTCCTCTAATTTTTTATCCATACGACGAACAGGTAAGGTTTTATATCTTCTGGCAACAGCTCTGCCATTTTGTCCAGCAACTCCTGAACTGAAACTGGTTCATCATTTTCGTTGAGCCACCTGCATATTTCTAAAAAGGTATCTTCTTTATTTTTATCAGAAGGACGTCCTGCTAACTTTGTCTGTCCATTGGGGATATCATATTGATGTTTTTTAGGAATAGAGTCGCCTTTTTCAAAATTCACACTACATTTCTGATTAAACAGAGCATCTGCTGCTGGCAAGTATCAACAACGGAAAGAAGAAGTGCAAGGACATTTGATGATCAAAAATCGTTTCTTGCATCACACACACATCAATAATAGTTTCTCGAAACGCGAAAGTTCGTACTGGTTGAATTGCAGATTTGATTATTCTCTCAGTTTCCTTGATGAATTGGCCACAAAACGAGCAATCATCTTTGAATGCGAATGTCGGCAGCTCAGATCACAAAGCTCTGTTGCTGCTGCTACTATTTGATGCTTCTCTATCAGGATCTGATTCAAACCTGAAATCATTCTTCATCTTGTTCCCATTTACGTACAAACGACGACATTCGACGTAAACAATTAGAGGATGAATAGGCACTGGTTTCAAGAGTTCAATTATTTCGTCTTGCTGCTACTTGCTAGAACTTATAATTCCTTGGACACCTTCAGTAGTCAATTCAACACAATTCGAACTATCATCAGTACTTCACGAAAATAAAAAACATTTGTTATCTTCCATCGCTGCTTTCAATTCACTATATTTAGGTATACCTGGAATAAAATATTAGATAATGAAACCTTCCATTCACGATCACAGAGAATAGTTTCAATCACATACCAAAATGATTGTTTCACACCTCGACACGAATTTTGAGATCTGCTATCCATATTATCATTTTTAGGAAGATTATGGAATTCGTTCGAATCTTATGTCCTGATGATCCTTACATAGGTAGCGGAACATGTGTTGAGTTGTGAAACAATCATTTCGGTTTGGTCACCTGAGATATGAAAAGTTGCGTTAAAACATTTTTGCATAAAATGATGCATCTTTAATATAGTTTTAGGGGTCGAATGAGGCTTCAGGAAATGAAAACTGCGTTTTTGTGGAAATTATTTCCACCCCAATTCCTCCAACTGCTCTACTAGTAGAATCACGATTGCAGTTTTCTTGTTGAGAGCTGTGCATGATCGTTTCATGTTGAGAAGTCGTGATTAATATCTCAGGTTCAGATTTATTAATTTCGAGAGTAAAGTTACATCACCTCTGGATATCAGGTGTATTCGGGATAAATATGCTTCTCGACCACTACAAATTGGAGCTAGGGCATAATCAGGATCAGCTTCTATGATATGTAGGCTTCCACTAATGGGTCATATAAGGAGTTTCTTCTATGCTTTTTCACTAGGACTGGTCCAAGCACGCGTGAGCCAAGAAAGAATTGAATTTCCAAAAGTAGATTTTCTTGCATGGTGAAACACCAATTCAGTTAGATGCAGTTAGTAGCAGTACAAAGCAAGGATCGAATTGAATGTGAAGTTTGGGATAAAACCATTTTCCATTGATTCACCTCTAGTCCTCTGGATATCATTGCGAGTAAAACAGATTTCCAGATTATCCCACTATAGCGTTCAACTTGTATAGCTGATTCGATCAATGTATCACACTTGGGGTCTAGCGGAAATGACTACAGAGATATAGGGTGTTCAAGACGAATTTAATGAAAAATGTCAGAAAATTATTGTAGGATTGCGAAAAAATCTTTCTCATCGCCTTTCGTATCGAATATCATGTCTGTGGTTGAGGGTTGAGTAAAGATCGGAGGAAATAGAGGAATTGGATGTCAACCTAATAAGTATTGTCAATTTTGACAGAAACAAATGAGCTCTTTCCATATTCCTTCCCTAGCGCCACTTGACCACCGACTCATAGACTGATCTAGTCCGCCAATTCTATAAGAAAAAACGTGAGCCACTCAAGAGATCGAACTGGTGAAACTGATTCATTTGCATTTAGGATCTGTCATGTTACACTCATGAATCTGAGGAACATAGTCGTATCGAAGGAGAGGTCTTATATAGAAGGTTGATATACATAAAGTAGTGAGGAACGAATGAAAAATGCCGTATTTTTTTACACTTTTCTGGACTTGCCTGGAAGCATCAGAAAGCTGTCTGCTGGCGTGGATTGGTCTGAACATAATTATTCTTCCTGAATGACTAAGATCCAATGGTCTCCTAATAGCATCAAACCATTTATTTCTCTTATTCTTAGGAATACAAGAATAATTATTGAACGAGCGAACTCTATATTCAAAATCGTTCAAAATAGATCAGCAGGTATATGGCACCTCACGCCTGAACTCAATTTCCTCACAGCTGACTGAATATACAAAAAACGCATGATTTCATTTCATGTAAATACTTGCTCAACTGATGTGAGCGAATCAAAATAATAAATTATTCATTACCCACAAACTCACTGGTGAGATCATCTTTATATCAATCGTGGAATTATTACACCAAAGAACAAAGCACTTTATATTTCCTATAGGATTGACGAAACTAAAACGAAAAATTTAATATTATTACTAAATTTTAATATTATTCTTATAAAGTCGACACCTGATGACATAAATGAAACACTCAAGCCAACGCCATCCACCTTGTCGCTGCCTATGAACAAAATGGATGCTAGGGACGTAAGCAGGCAGTCATGATACGAGAGGGCAGGCAGCTTCTCTCATGCTGTATTTGTTTTTGTAGTACGGGGTGGGCCACCAACAGTTCTCTTGATCACATTTCAACATTTTTTTTTTTTCGAATAAATAATAAACATTTGATAGGCATCAAGTGATCTACTGCGACCTATCAGATAATGAAAGCGATGATTTGATTTGCAATAATTCGCTATGTCACGACGAGTCCTACATGTAAATAGCGAACCACTCATCGAAAATCATGAAACTATATGTACATATTATATGCTATATGCTTATGTTTTGTTGGCGAGGACGCTCGTTTTATTCAAATTATTTTCGATAATGTTCATCTGCTTCACTAGAAATTATTATTAGTAGTTATGTAGTACTTAGTAGTATAGTATAGTAGCAGCTTTGTTATTCAAAATGGAACACCTTATATTTTATTACATTTTTCGATTCTTCTAATTGAGCTATGATTTCGTTGATCAAGCTCAAGGTATACCTATACGTAGAATGTGAAAAATCGAGATTTTTTTTGTATCGAAACTATACAATATCTATATTGATTTGTCAAAATGGCTTACATGTGTCCCTATCCTAACATTCTATTTACTATCTACTGATGCCATTTAATTGAAACAAATACAGGGTGGATCAGATTTCAGAATTATATAAAAGAAGTACTAGTATGCCTATACTAAATATATATATATATATGTATTTGAAATAAACAAAACAAATATATCACATAAAAAAACACACTCTAATATTCAACCTAAAATATAAAAAATATATAAACAGTGTGCATGTCACTTCTATAATGGAATATCAACCCGTCTATCTAACGTAACTGTTCAATTTTAAGGAGCGATAGATATATATACCAACTATGACCAAAGTGAGGTAATCTTCAGTGAAAAACACTGCTCTGGTCATGGACCCACCAACATTTCCGGAAATTGATATTAGGAGGCAAGATAGGTTGAAAATCACTTCGGATTCGAAATCAGGACGTAACCCTGTACCTCGAAAACGAAGCAAGTTTAGGACACATGTTTATATGACCTTTATTCATCATATTATATCACAAGGAATCATCCCTTGAATTATTTCGGTGTTATTTAGATACACCCTGTATAGATCATTCTTCATCCCAATATAGTTATTCAACATTTTTCCCATAGCGAAGTTCATCAGCAAATACCGATGGCGAGAGCACTATGTTTATTGATTTGATGTCTACCTATAATATATGTAAAACAAGAAGGCACAACAACTAGTGTTCCGTTTAGATCATGGACGTATAAACAAAGATGTACATTAAATTGACAAATTTGACTCCAAAATAATTCAGGCACTCGCCAATATTCATAACGTAGTTACTGCTGCCCGTTTACGTTTCCCCACCGCTTAGGGAACGATCGGGCGTGTTCGGTGAACACACGGGTATGATCTCGAGACTCTAGTATGAACGATAGCTTGGAGATTTCTGCGTATTGAGCATAAGCGTTGTCAGGCGAGCAACTGACCCTACATTTTCGAGTTTCTGCGATATGGCTACCAGCAGTCTAGAAAGAGTAATAAGTCGGTGCACTTGAGAGGCAGACATATTTCGATTGACTGAACAGACAATATTGTACGTCCTTACACTAGGTCGCCAACTAGGTTTTCATTTGGATCGACAATGGTCGCATACCATCAATTTTTGATGTCATTCATGATCATACATTTCACAATTCCAGAGAATGTTATGTTGTTCTGCAGAATCACGATAATATAAATAGCAGCTCACCATGTCTTGGGATATTTCCGTCATTTTGTGTGCTTCTGAACTTTTAAATGACCACCGTGTTCAATCAGCCAGTACTATATATGGTACAAAATCCCTGATGAAAATTTGCTTTTGTAATGGAAAGTACCATTGTTATCATCGTTCACCTATACAGGCATGGCCGCCATTTTGTTTCATTGTGAACTGTTTCAGGTTCTCCCTATCTTAAATCACTTAGTGAACAATTTCTGCAAGTTTCATGCTTTTGTAACAAATGGCACACTCACCCAACTCTGCCACACGACAGTAACTTTCTCAGGTCGTCCTGGGAACTTCAGATATCTTGTTCACAAAATATTGTTTCAAGGTCACACCAGCATGATCCTGCAGAAAGTCGAGCTTCCCATTGTTGATCTGACGGAGTGCCAAAACATCTACAAGGCGGAGAATCGAGCCAAAATCAGCATAAAACAATTGTGCGCTGGTGGCAGAAACAGAAAGGACTCTTGTAGAGGAGACAGTGGAGGTCCGATGCAAACAGCCGCCTACATCAATGGGGACACCCGGTATGTTCAACAGGGTGTTGTGTCCTTCGGGCCGGCCTACTGCGGACTGGAGGGTTACCCTGGAGTTTATACCAGAGTGGAATTTTACATGGACTGGGTGCTGGACATTATGAAACCCTAGATGAAGATTCAGTGCTCTCCAGTGCAATCTCAATGATGGTTTTTGCGGAAAGAAGATCAATTCGATATTCTTATCACGCAACTTTTCAATTTGAGTCATCAACTATAGGTACAGGCAGGGCCATCATATCAACAAGGCACTCATCGAGGCACATTGGTGCTCTGGGCTCAGCAGAAGTGCAATGCTCGTGTCTCAGATTTTAGCAACACCACGCAACAGTAACACTGAGTATTAATATACTTTTTTCTGCAACCGACACAAAAGTCGTCCATTTTGATACCAAAATTAGCTCTCAAATTGAAGTTTCTATTACTGACAAAAAAATAGGTATGTTGCTAGGCAACAGGAGCTAAAGTTGAATTTTAGTTCCTAAGAGCTAAAGTTGAACTTCAGCTCCTAGGGACTAAAAAGGATGTACTGGACGTCATCAAGAATAAACAACATTGTGACGGTTGGTTATTTGGGTTGAGACGCATACCTGATTTGTTTCCGATTTCAGCAGATTTGACATTTCATATTCATGCTGGAGATATATATACACCTTAGTATAGTTTAGTATTGGAATTATAAACATCTCAGTTAGGTATTTTTGTTTCGATCATCACGAGTAAATCTATATACTGACGGTTTTATTTTCAAAAAATCTGGTAAACGAGTTGTCTTCAACTGCGCAATCAAGAATAGCGCCGGTTTGGTATTTAGAACGAATGATAATCACTTTGTTTTCACGTAAAATTTCACGGTGGTTATATAATATTATAACGAACGCAAATAGAACAATGTCTTATATTGATCAAATTAGGAACAAATGTAGCACCTTGATTGACAAGCGATATTTTTCGAGTCAAACAAAGTAACTCATGATCCGAATAATACATACTTTTTCTGCAACCGACACAAAAGTCATCCATTTTGATACCAAAATTAGCTCTCAAATTGACGTTTCTATTACTGACAAAAAAATAGGTATATGTTGCTAGGCAACATATTTAGTTCCTAGGAGCTAAAGTTGAATTTTAGTTCCTAGGAGCTAAAGTTGAACTTTAGCTCCTAGGGACTAAAAAGGATGTACTGGACGTCATCAAGAATAAACAACATTGTGACGGTTGGTTATTTGGGTTGAGACGCATACCTGATTTGTTTCCGATTTAAGCAGATTTAGCATTTCATATTCATGCTGGAGATATAAATACACCTCATTATAGTTCAGTATTGGAATTATAAACATCTCAGCTAGGTATTTTTGTTTTGATCAGGGAAGCCTTCAAGATTCAAATACTTGCTTGATCTGTATTTCATTCGTTATTCTCGGGATGGATACCTTGTTTTTCGAATACTCACTGCAAGCAATATAGTTTTTTGTCTCAAACAACGATATTGTTTACCTCTATTTGATTATCAAGTCAAACACAGTGTAGTATGGAGAGAAATAAATAATCGCTATTATTATTGTTGATATGCTCACTAACCTAACATTTTCCACGTCTTGTTCCTATACCTGGCACTGGCGCGGTACTTGCCATTAGAGAACCTGGTCCATACACAAATATGTCACTCTGTGGTTGTATTCATATTTACACTAAAATTCGAACTGAAAATTAAATGAACCTACTGTTAATGCCTGTAGAATATTCTAACCACACGGATTTTGCATTGATTTTGAAATGTTGCATTGCAAACATATGGCACGACATTGGTGGTTACTTCACATATTTATTTGAGTTAATTGTTTCGGTTGCTGAAAAAAATAGCATGTTTCATTTGGATCAAAAGTGACTAAAAGCTCCGCCTCGCAAATGCAAAATTCGCGGGTGCCACTTCTGATCCTAATAAAAAAATCTACTTTTATTAATTTGAAGAAATCAAAATGCCATTCACCGTGTTCATTTCATATATGTTTATTCCCATTTCGAATATTTTGTTATCCTACCTATCAAGAAGCCTGGGGAATAATAAATAATAAGTAATTTCCTGGTGATGCCAATTCATTGAGTGATCATGATTTTGGAGTATCTCAGTCGATGCCCAATCTTATTCGCACATGAAATGACAGCTCGCCACTGTTTTTCGACATTTTCACTATTGGTTACTATAGTTAATACTTGTATAAACTCTGATCATGATGACCTTGAAACTTCCAAAATAAATTATTCGTATCAGTGATATGGGAATTATATCCAACACTCCTCAGTGACCTGGAGTCCAGTTATGCATTCAGCCATTCTTCATGTTATACACAATTTTCACCTTATTCAATATCATGAATCAAATCATTGCATGGAAAACACAATAGATATGAGTTACCACTATCTTATGTCGTGGTTTCCCCCCATCAACCATCGGTTCTCATTATAACAACGAATTCGGTTTAAACAGTTCCTACTCAATTTAGTCTATGGTACGAAAAAAATAATGTTCAACTTTCCACTGAGTCGTTATCGAGTGACGACTATTTTCGTTTTGACGATAGTTTTTTGTTCCAACTGGGCACTAGCTGAAGGTGAGCTTTATTTAAAATTCAACGGAAACAAATAACTATAGCATATCAATTTGACATTGAGTCTACGGGATATACATGGTGCTCCTTGAAGACATGCTAATATTTGAAAAGGTGATTCCTTGACTCATTTTCATATGATCGTATGTCCTAACTTCAGTCTTAACTTTTGAGATACAGGGCGATGAAGTTTTGAAAATTATTCAGTTTTTTTATAATAACTGAGACGATATTTATACATCTTCATGAAATTTAGTACACGTGTTTTATGCATCAAGGTGCATTTTCTGATATAAAAAATTTCGATTTTCTCTACTAGTAGCACCGTTACGGAAATATTATTTTTTATATTTTTCCTAAAAGTGGCAACGACGGAAGATTTTTGAATTTCGTACAATGCTATGGAAAGCTATCGAATTATGTACAGAAAACATCCTCTCGTTGATAGGTAAAAACGAGACCAAACTTCTAATGTTGATGTCTGAGTACTCCATTCAGGACATTCCATTACTGGATAACCACAATATGTACCATTTTGAAATTTTCATACAGATTCAGTCACATAGCAAACTGAATTTTGCCATCACAAAAAGATACAGGGTGGACAAAAAATAATCTATGCATATTTTCAACACAAAACACATTGTGTCTCAAAAGTTATGACGTTCACGAGATACGTTCATATGAAGTTCAATTCTTGAAAAGGGTCGAATAATCGGCTCCTCGAATATTATCATATCATTAAGGGACACATATTGATCAAATCAGGAACAAATGTGACACTTTGATTGACAAGCGATATTTTGCGAATCAAACATATAGTAACTTATATGATCCGAATTAAACATACTTTTTCAACAAACGCCAGTAAAAGTATAATTTTTGACGCATGCTGTCAGTGTCAGTTCATCACACTGGTGTTAAAAGTAAATGCGTTACATTAGTTTTTGTGTCTGGTATATGCACAACTAGTGAAGTTCCGTAATCCTCGATATCATTTAATGTCAAATCGCACAGTTCTTCTCAACGACAGGCTCCAAAAACACCAAAAATCGCAGCAGCTTTCTGCATTAGATATATTTCATCTGAGGCTCCTGCGAGAAATTTGTCGATTTGTTCTCTTGTCAATACTCTTGACTTTTTCGGTCGATATCCTCCACCCTTTCGCTTCAAAAAAGCCACAAGCTTGTGATATCTGCTTATGTCATGATCATTTATGTTCATCATCGACTTTAACATAGAGTAATTCGACCAAAGCGTTGACGATTTCCATATTTTGGACTTTTCTTCAAAGTATGCAAGAAGCACTTTCTCACTGGCCTCCTTTCCACTGTCATTTTTCTGATCACACCATTTCAAGAAACGTTCGTATGAAAACTCGTACTATCGCTTCGACTTACTAGGCAATAATTCAAAAACATCTTTATTGGCAGCTTCTTCAATTTGCGGCGGAAGAAATTCGTTTTCTTGAGCACTTTCCATCGAGGAACGAAGAAACGAGAAAGAATAATTCGTGATTTATTGACATTAGTTGTCAAGAAAGATAAATCAACAAATTCAGTTTTTGTTTACCTGGTAACTAGTTTTATGAATAGATTAGATTGAAGTGGATTCAGAACTGATAATCTCGAGGCTGTTATTTTTAATCAATTAATAAGTAATGTAAAATAGTTATGCGTTAATTCGGACTTTTAATGGTGTTTGTAGAAAAAATAGTGTATGATATATGTGCTAAAAGTGTTTTTTCTTTTGTTCGGAGGGATGGAACACTCCGCGCCTTAGGCGTCGTGTCCCAAACTTCCCTTCTCACAAAATGAAATGTCACTTTTTGCACTTATATCATAAATAACTATTTTCTGCAACCGACACAAAAGTCGTGCACTTCAATACCAAAATAAGCTCTTGAATTGACGTTTATATATTACTGACACAAACATATAGGTATGTTGCTAGGCAACACTTCTAGTTCCAGGAAGCTAAGGTTGAACTTCAACTCCTAGGAACTCAAGAGGGTGTACTAGGACATCAAGAATGAACAACATTGCTATACGGTTGGTTATTTGGGTTGGGACGCATACCTGATTTGTTTCCGATTTCAGCAGATTTGGCATTTCATACTTGGGATATAAAAATACCATATTACAATATTGTTCACCTCAATTTGATTACCGAGCCAAACACAGTAGAGTATAAAGAGAAATATATAATCGCTAATATTACTGTTGATATGCTCACTAACCTAACATTTTTCACGTCTTTTTCCTATACCTGGCACTGGCGCGGTATTTGCTATTAGGGCTGACACCTGGTCCATACACAAATGAGTCACTCTGTAGTTGTATTCATATTGAGGCATTCTTGAAAATTGAATAAACCTGATCTGTAAATGCAGGTAATATTCTCACCACACGGATTATTATATATTATTTTTCTTTGGAACTTGTGCTCTGCTTATCGTTCGACACTTTTCAGTGACAAACTGATGTTTAGGCATATGATTGAGTGATTTTAGTAAACAAATGAGTTACAGGATGTTTTCATGAATTGATCTTTAATCTACCATTTTCATGTTCAGTTTCCAGTAGTGTTTTCTTTCAGGCTCCTTGAAAGAAAAATGTGTTAAACGCAGTGACATTTTGCGGCAAATCATCTGATTTGTCCCACTACAAATATATTGGAATGATACGCATATTTTTATTTTATAGAAACGAGAAGAAAAAATCCCAAAAAATCAAGTAAAATGACTTTGTTTGACTCGCAAATTTTACTTCTGCTCGGCTTCGGTAGTCGCTCCTTCTCGCAAATGCAAAATTCGCTTGTCAAATAAAGTGTCACTGTTGATCGTAATAAAACAATCCATTATTTTTTGCTGCAATCTAAATTATTGATATTTAAATAATAAAATATTAGTGAGAATACCACTATTTTGAGTCTCTTGAGCATGTCAGTGTCAAAGCAGAAATCTTTTCAGCTGTCATCCGACACGTTTTCACTTCCTAGGATTTAAACTTCAACTTCAGCTCCTATAGACCCTAAAATTATTGCCAAGCTACATACATACTAATCATTTTATTGTGTCTGTAAAAGGAACGTCAACCATAAGGGCTGATTTTGGAACAAAAATAAAGGACTTTTGAGTCTATTACAGAAAAGACATATCTTTCCGACAAAGATGTTGGTGCATGACACAAAAAAGTCAACAAAATAACGATTTTATGATGATATATTCAGAAAATCTTTTTGTAATTAAACTTTGTGGTCGACCGACTTAGCGTTTGTGTTTTTTCTTTGAAAAAATCTGGACCACTTTGAGAAGGATGGATGGTTTCCATGACTTATATTCAGAAATATTCGACGATTGATTTCGTGCCGTAGGAGAGAGAGACATTTCCGAAATCAGAGCAGCAAGCAAGTACATCAATCGACAAATATTTCCAGGATAATAGTAATTCGACTTGACTTCGTATGACCATTTCATGATTGAACCAAACAGTAATTGATATCACAGAAATCCATACCGTCAAAAGTGAATACTAATTATAACTGACGTTATGAACGACAAAATTTCATCGCTGAAAAACGAGATCGGTTGGTCACGTGTGGGTCCATTTGGCTTCTGTATTGTTAGAACAAGTCCGATAATTCTGACTAAACAAAAAATATCGCTGTAAAACAAGAGAAACCGCGAAAATGGTCGATTCTGTTTGGTTCTCGAGAACAAGAGTGGAATAGTTACATATGACATAATATGACCAAGGGGTAAATCACTGGGGCAGTCCGGTGGCAGTCCGTGGCAGTCCCTTGCAGTCCGATGGCAGTTCGGGCTGTCCGGTGGTAATCCGTGGCAGTCCGGTGGCAATCTGGTGGCAGTCTGGTAGTTTCTCGTAATTCTAAGGCCACACTCATCATTTAAGCCTAAACTGGAAAATTCAAGATGGCGTTTGCAGGGTGGCGAGCGACTTTATTATTTATTCTTCGGTTTGCCTGGAAATGTACAGGGTGAAAAACTAAGAAAGGCATTACACGATGTAGTAGAGAAACTAAATCTCAACAGACCAACGAAAACCGCAACATGATATCTTTTCGCCAACGGAAGATATCAACTATCACAGTTGGAAGAATGATAGAAATGACAGCCGTTCGTATAGTTGTTCACCGGGTACAGGTAGGGGCTCTCGAGGTCGGAAAATTCAAATTTTGAATCCAAATTTGGACATTCAAGATGTCTTCTTCAGGGTGGCGAGCGCTGTTGCAAACGACTTCAGTTAAACTTCATCATACATTTCGAATCAATTGAAAAATTTAGGATTCCCTCTGCAAGGTAACGGATGATTCATTATCCGAATTGCTTGAAAAAACGTTCACCTTGGGGCTCTCGAGCCCAAGAGCCGATACCCACAAATTGTGTGCATAGAGGGTGAGTCACGGTCGATGGTAGGTTAAACGTTCATGAAGAACGCAACGAAGGATTTCTCTGAGAAGTTTGCATCTCACATTTTATCACCTGTTCTATGGATCTAGAATTTGTTTCAAATGCGACGTTGTCGCTTCTATCAAAAAGTTCGAGCAACGTCATTTTTCAAAAAGTTCACCTGTATATTATTACAATTTCAGGTCCTCCCTGTAGAGCTGATTTCATTGATATATCACACTTGAGGTCGAGCGGGAATTATAACAGGGATATAAGGTGGTCATAGTCGAGATTTTTCAACTTTAGGATTTTTTGTGTCGAAACCGCGGTCGAAACTATTCATTATTGATCAAAACGGCTCATATGCCTCTATCTTAACTTCTGATCCACTATCTACTGCCATTTAATTGGAGCGAATAAAGGGTGGTTCAAGATTCTGAATTCTGATCACCCTGTATCTGTGCCAATTAAAAGTCATTAGATAGTAAATCTGGAGTTGAGATGGGGACATGTGAGCCGTTTTGACCGATAATCAATAATTTCGACTCAAAAAATCCTAAAGTTGAAAAATCTCGATTTTGAACACCCTATA